ATCTGCCTGCTTCTCTGCATCAAGTCCAGACTCCGGAGTCCAGCGACCAGATCATGACCAGCGACAGCTGCTGCTGTGCTTCATCTTCAAGCTCCATCCAGGCATCCACGGCTAATGGTGAGCTTGTGTTCTATGCATATTATGCCTTTTCCAGCACTACTGAATTACTGACAAATTGAGTTCTTTCTAGTTAAGACTATATTGGGCATGTGCGGATATGACGAATTGAGTGCTAGAAAAACAATTGAAACGCAATTATTAATTATTAATTATATATACCGGTTCAAAGTTTTTGTGACTGGTTCAATTCGTCCGGTCTAACACAACTGAACCGGCGGTTCAACCGATCCTAAACGGTTAGACCAGTGATATAGTGAACCGACGGCCTCCTCGGTTCGATCTTCGGTCCGGTCCTAATAACTTTGATGGTTGCCCCTCTCCCTTCCGCGATCTCGCTCCGCGGTGACCCCGGCCGGCCGGCCCTGCCCCCGCGCTATGGTCTGGCTATGATGATGGCTCAAATTAGGGGGGCGACGGTGGTGATGGATCAAATTATGGCGACGACTGACTGGCGATGCATGCATGATGGCTGATGGCCACTGCCCAGGCCGCGGAACACTGCCGCGCGCGTTCGTGGTCAATACTGCTACCGCCCCCATCGTCATCGGTGCTGGTGGTCGCACCCAGACCGTGACCGCCGGCCGGCCGCCTAAATTTCGCCGGCGGTTTGACTCCCGTGCGGGTCCTCTCCTCCGGCCGTCTTTGAGTTGTATAGCCCATGCGCTGGTGTCGCAATTGAACTGGCCGGCCTGATCCAGCTAGATTGTCTGTGTCGCGTGCCAGGACGAGCACCCAAGAGCACTCCTGAAACGTACGTACTCTTGCTTCTTTCTTTGGCAGAAAAAAAACCTGGCAGCACCAGGATTGAAGCGGCTCTCGATTAAAAAAAAAACCCGTACGTGTGAGCAAACGGCGGATCCGGAAATGCGTGTGCTCGCTGTACAGAGATCCTGTACACAGAAGCCGCAGGGCAGGAGAGAACAGAACACCAGCGCGGCGCGACAGCGACCCGTAACTGAACCGCCGGCTCTTCCGCAGAGCTCTCGCAAGAGACCAAACCGGGCGTAGCTGTGCGGATGGCACGCATAAGACGTATTGGTGTCCATGGGGCGCGCGGCGAAGCATGAGGCGCGGCACACACCTCCACCTCCACGGCGTCGTGCTCGGCCGCTCGCGCATCACCTGACCTGACCAGCAGCTAGCACACCTACCTACCCTGGAGGCGGGAGGCCCACGGGGGCTATCGGCCAACGAGCAGGGCAGCAGGCGCAAGTCGACAAGCAGCGAAGAAGAAGCTTCTCTTGGCTGTGGCCTGTGGGGCTCCGATCTTCCTGCCGTTAAGACGCAGCAGCAATGCGCGGCAGTAGTAATTAGTTACGGTACTTCTTACTTGAGATCTGTTTAATCTGTGAGCACAACTGTACGCGCAACTGCGCAAGTAAGCCCAGGCCAACCCGGCATGCAGCGTCACTGGACCAAGATCTTTGCGATTTTAATTTCCATGCGGGGATGCCGTTGCTACAAAGTAATCCCTGCCGTGCTGTACTTGCTCCCCTCTGCCGTGGATTTGCAAGGGAGCAGAGGCAGGTGGCGCTGCCGTTCACCGGTCTGCACTCTGCACGCAGCAGATGGAATGGAAATATGGAGTGATACCCGAACAGAACAGAGAGAGGTCCCGCGACGTAACGCCCAATTTCGGCGTGGCTGTCCTCACTTGACACAGCAGACGAGCATGGTCATGGGCTCATGGTAGCACTTAGCAGTAGCTCTGAGAGCGAGACGTACACTTCCTCTAGCTATCACGCCAGCTCGCCAGTCCTTGGCGTGGCTGCTCCGTCCAACCGAGCCCTATCCCATCCCACGAGGGCGCCTGAAGCTAAGCGGAGGTGGACAATGAATCAATGATGGCGGATGAGATTAGTCCTCTGATCGATCACAGTTACTGCTCATCTTTAGTACACTGTCTGCTTAGATCTAGTATATATATATATCGTGGGGATCTAATCTATCCGTGATTCTGAAAATAAAAAGGATTGATTGAGAGCCCCTCCGAGAGACACCGTATCCGGTTACGTATAGGACAAGTGGACAACAGATCGTACGTAAACGGGGGCCATATCTTTCGTGGTCGAAAGGACGGTAGGTACGTCCTCGCCCGCTGATAATGGCAATGCCGGGCAGGGCTATACCTATCGCTACAACGCTGCTGGTACGAGCTACCAGCTGTAGATACATACGGAGTACTACTACGGAGCACACCACATTCCTTTCCGAACTGGCGAGAAGCTTAATAAGCAGGTGTTTCCCATTGGGCAGAAATGCACTCATTCGATCATTTGCCACTATAATATTAATTAATTTGCCCTAGTATGATCGTAGAGAGCTAAGCAGGCTATCGGGAGATCGAAACTAAGCACCCGCTTGTGCTCCCACACACACACTCATTGCCAACACTAAGGCCTGGTTTAGTTTCCAAAAATTTTCATCCTAAACTATCACATCGAATCTTATGACACATGCATGGAGTATTAAATATAGACGAAAAAAAACTAATTACACAGTTTGGTTAGAAATCGCGAGATGAATGTTTTAAGACTAATTAGTCTATGATTAGCCATAAGTGCTACAGTAAATAGCATATGCTAATGATGGATTACTTAGGTTTAATAAATTTGTCTCGCAGTTTTCAGACGAGCTATGTAATTAGTTTTCTTTATTAGTATCCGAAAACTCCTTCCAACATCCCAAAACATCCGATGTAACGTCCAAAAATTTTCATTTCACGACCTAAAAACACCCTAAGCACTGCTGAGAGTCGACCTCACTCAGCCATCGCTCCAGACATGGAGCTCAATTTGTAGGGCTACATCTCTCTCTCTCTGTGCCTGTGTGGTAGGCATGCATGATGCACGCTAGAGATCAGGGTACTGCGTGCTGGAACGACAGCGCTACTCATTCGGCGTCATTTCGCATCACCGCCCTGCACCAAAATTGTCGGCAAACTGGGGAAGGCGACGCGCGTTCCGTTCGCCTTTTTTTTTTGTTCCGTTTATTTAACACACACACACACACACAAAAATACATGGTGGATCATGCATTCATGCGGGTAAGGTATTAGGGCGTACCAAAAGTCGTGTAGGAGACAGAGGCGGAGGACAACACACAGCCTGTTCTGGCAGTGGCAGTACTGGCCATAGTAGCACAGTACAGTACATCGTAGGCACCGCATGCATATGACCATATGCATGTATAATGTATTGTCCGCACCGTAGGCTTTGTGCATTATTAGCATCACAGAAAAAGTATAGGACCAAACCAATGCTTGATGAATTGGCCACTCGTTGGTTAGTATCTTGGCCCTCTTCGGCTTATCCTATATTCGATTTGTTCGACTTTTTTTTTAGTCGGAATAGTGTTTTTCTCTCACAACAATTCAGCCGAAACAGTGTTTTTCAGCCAGTTTCAGCCAAGTTTCAGCGAACGAGCCCCTTGTCCATAGCCATGGGCCGTACCGGTGCGCGTATAAATATGCCAACTAACATAACACCATACTTTTCGGTGTTATCGGCCCCTTGCACTAATCGCATTCTACTCACTTACAAAGTTATAAGTAGATTGAGGATATCCATCTCAATCAAAATGTGTTAAAGTGAATTAGAGTGAAATTAAACTAAGTTCCATGCCAATCTACTCTAATTAAAGTAAATACACATGTATCAAATAAGGCCTCGAGTGAGGAAGCGGGGAAAGAGATCCATATACTCAGGGTCTGTTCGGTTGGTATTAAAGCCGGCTGAACCTGTTTTGTTGTGAGAGAAAAATACTGTAGATTCTAGATAAATTATTGTCGCACGCTGGCAGAATGGCAGTGTACTCAGAACAGTCTAGGTGAACAGTAGCCGGTAGTCACTTCTAAGTTACCGTTTAGTTACCTTCCATAATGCCAAATTTTTCAAGATTCCTCGTCACATCGAATCTTTGACGCATGCATGAAGTATTAAATATAAATAAAAAATAAAACTAATTACACAATTTAGACGAAATCCACGAGACGAATCTTTTAAGCCTAATTAGACTATAATTAGACACTAATTGTCAAATAACAACGAAAATGGCTACAGTATCATTTTGCCAAAAATTTCGGCATCTAAACGGGCCCTAAGAAAAGGAGGCGGGGAACACTGAACAGTGAAGTAGTGACCCCTTTTGGCGTCGTGCCGCCGTCGCGCAGTGAAACATTTTGGTAAATCCGCCACGCATTTTGCCAGTTTGCCCAGCTGAAGCCGAAAGTCAGAACAGTAGGCAGTGCTGAGAGTCCAGAGCATCCCTGCAATCGCTCCGCTTTTCGACCAGAGAGGGTCATCGATGCCCGGAGCTGCAGAGACCCTTAACATCCGTCCGATCTGCCAATGGACGGTCCAGATCAAGTTGGAGAAATCGCTGCCGACAACATCACCAACCTTCTTCTACTACCCGCACGTCCCTACTACAGTTGCAGCCAGTTAATTCGAGCTTTACTCATCTCAGATCCTCGGTTCTGACTTCTGAGCGTGGCTTAATTAGTCCAGGCTAGTTTAAACCCAAGATCCGCCTGTCAGACGGGCCCACACGCACAGAAACGGACAACCTTCCGCTGCCCAGCTCAGGCCTCGGCTAAACTTCTGTATCATCTCGTGCTCTCGCAGTCGCAGCCCCTCCTCGTCAGTCGTCAGCCGTCACTAGTCCTCGCTCGTCGCTCCTCCCTAGCTAGCCATAGGCGGCAGTGAGTGACTCACTAGTGACCAGACCAGTGAGCTAGTGACTGTACCATGCAGCTGTAGCAAGCGAGGAGGAGCCTGGTGGACGGTTGGTAGGAGTAGCGCCAAGTGCTGTGCGTCCGGTCGGGCAGGCTGCGCACGACGGCGAGCAGGAGGGAGCAGCACCGCCTGCCTCCTCCGGCAATGTCGCCTCCGCCGCCGCCGCCGCTGCTGCGGAACGAGCTGTCGCGCAGGACGGCGGTGCTGGGCCTGCGCCTGTGGGTGCTCGTCGGCATCGCCGTCGGGGCCGCCTTCGTGCTGCTCCTCGTGCTCATCTCCCTCCACCTCGCCTCGGCGCGGCGGAGGCGGCCCAGGAAGAGCGTCGCGCACGCGCCGGCTGGGGCGGCGCCGGCACCGCTGTCCCCGTCCACCATCCCGCCCGTGTCCAAGGAGATCCAGGAGGTGGCCGTCCACGTCGGCTCGCTCCGCCACTACCTCGAGATGGGGCACGCGTTCCTCAAGGACGGCGGCGGCGACAGCGAGTCCGTGGCGCATGGGTCGCAGCGCGTGCACATCGAGTCCGGCAAGGGCCACCGCATGGTCGCGAACGCCGATGGGGAGGTCGGCCCCGTGGCGTCCGACGTGTCGGCGGCGGCGGCCGTCGTCGTGGGCCCCGAGGTGTCGCACCTCGGCTGGGGCCACTGGTACACGCTGCGGGAGCTGGAGGAGGCCACCGCCGCGTTCGCCCCCGAGCACGTCGTCGGCGAGGGAGGATACGGCATCGTCTACCGCGGCGTCCTCGCCGACGGCTACCAAGTCGCCGTCAAGAACCTCCTCAACAACAGGCGCGCACTGCCACTCAAAAAAACCCGCATCTTTTCGCGTGCGCCTCTCCATTCGGTGTGCGTTCGCTACTATTTTTTTTGATTGACCCGCACGTTGCTCGCTGGATGCAGGGGACAAGCCGAGCGGGAGTTCAAGGTGGAGGTGGAGGCCATCGGCCGCGTCCGGCACAAGAATCTGGTCCGGCTACTGGGCTACTGCGCCGAGGGCGCCCAGCGGTACAGAAACAGAACCCTCTGCGCATTGATGACGGCTGCATCATAACTGCATTGCTTCTTGTGGTAATTTGTTTGGTGGTTGCTTGTGATCTCAGGATACTTGTGTACGAGTACGTCGACAGTGGCAACCTCGAGCAGTGGCTGCACGGCGACGTCGGGGCGGTGAGCCCACTCACCTGGGACATCCGGATGAACATCGTGCTCGGCATGGCCAAAGGGTGCCTGAATTTTTTCCACTGCTTTATTTCGTTCTGCTCCCTCATGTACTACCTCTGAGCCGGTGGTGTATGTTTGGGTCTCTGATGAGAGATTAATTTGGCATTGGGGATGATTCAGGATCACGTACCTGCACGAGGGGCTGGAGCCGAAAGTGGTACACAGGGACATCAAGTCCAGCAACATCCTGCTGGACAGGAGGTGGAACCCTAAGGTCTCGGATTTCGGCCTCGCCAAGCTCCTGGGGTCAGACAGCAACTACGTCACCACCAGAGTGATGGGAACATTTGGGTGAGCCGGGGCGGCTTTAGGTCCCTGATGATGAATCATGTTTGATCTTCTTCTTCCGGGTGAAATGACTGATGTGAATTCTCAAAATGCTTCTGTTTTTCAAAGCTATGTGGCACCAGAGTATGCTAGCACCGGTATGCTGAATGAGAGGAGCGACGTGTACAGCTTCGGGATCCTGATAATGGAGATAATCTCCGGTCGAAGCCCCGTCGACTATGCCAGACCTGCCGGAGAGGTCAGTGTGGTGTCTGTGATTCAATGAAGCAACGAGATCATGCTATGCTTTGCAATGCGAAATGTGCTTCTGAATTTGCCTGAGTTCCTGATTTTTCTGTACTGTTACAGGTAAACCTTGTAGAATGGCTCAAGAACAAGGTGACCAACAGGGACTACGAGGCCATCCTCGACCCGAAGCTGCCGGAGAAGCCTTCCACCAAGGCGCTGAAGAAGGCTCTCTTGGTCGCACTGAGATGCGTGGATCCTGATTCGCAGAAACGGCCCAAGATGGGACATGTAATCCATATGCTTGAAGTCGACGACTTCCCGTATCGAGAGGTGAGCCCTATTGCTAGTTGCTTCTTTCACCGTATATATATGAAGTCAATCATGCTACTCATTCGCTCTCAAGAACATACTCTATGCATGCTGAACTCGATCCCGAGTTACATATGATGAAACCCGCGCAATTGCCGGTTAAAATAATGTGCCGATTACCCTGTCCTACATGAATGCCTCACTCATGCCTGTCAATATTAAAATGGTGATACCTTCTGCATCCGGGTTTTAAGAAACATGGACAGCAGGAGCATCAGGATTAAAATAGCACAATGTTGCTCTGATTACTTAGCTCTTTGTCTGACCACCGACCAAGTGTAAAATACTTGTCCGGACAGTGCCTGAACTGCCCGTTTTGATGTTAACTAATCTGTCATCAACGAATAACTATCCCAAAGAAAACAATATCACCATCCGGGCCATGTTTTACTGCCACCCATAGGCCCCTAAACTATTGTTGGTCAGATGCAGAGATGCTTTACGTACTGTTTGTATACTTTCCATCAACAGAAGTTTCAGAGACCTGTTTGTTTCGGTCCCCGTCTTTAGTGTTTACATCCTCCTGCAGGATCGTCGGACTCTTCGGCCGGGCAACGGCAGCCCCTTGGAGAAGGCGAGGACACCGGGGAATCCGGCGGCGGGGTCATGCGACAGCAGCTGCTACGGGGGCAACACGACCACCGCGAGCACGCCGTCCAGATTAGTGCAGGACATGTAGCCAGCGCCACCACGCGCGCACCTGCCGGGCTTCTGAGCTCCGCCCCTGCGAGCAACGCGGAGGTGCTGCAACTCTGCTTCGTCGGTGTCGTTTTGATCTGGTTCCGTCTCTGCCCTGTCGACGCATAATCTGTAGTGAAGGAGTGGTTGCCTTCCTAGGTTTTGATTTTGAACTCTACCGTGACTTGACGTAGAATTTGCCGCCAAAATGCCGAACTGTTTGTATAGAGAACTGCTCTTATCTCAGGCCGTAAGTTTGACTGTTCGTTGATTCGTGTACTGTTGTACAAAAAAAAAGTGTGTCCAACTCGGTGCATGTGCATCTTGTTATTCTTCGCCTGGTTCGTTTGGCTTTTATAAACCGTAATTTTTTCAAATTTAACGAATAATATTTTTCTCTCACAACAAATCATCAACAAAGACTTTTTAGTCATGGCTAATCAACCAAAACAAACAGGGCATTTGTCTGTCCTTGCAGCTTCCCGGGTTGAAGCATGTCTCCGGTAACTTAATACAGCTAGTTGTTTGCCAAGCAATTTTGAGCAATATTTCTTTTATTTAACAGAAGATGCCATGTGCATGATGTTTGCTTGAAAGACGCTGCATTTCGCAAGAGAAACTCATTATCGTGCCGGTCGGTCGGATTTTGGCTTGGGATTTTGAATTTAGCCACGAGCAAAATGCCAGGCTGGGCCCGGTAGCCTTCGACGCAGGCAACCCACTTCCTCGTCCAGCCCAAAGCCCATGAGTTCAAGATTGGATCAAAACCACGCTGCCCTCTCTACTCGCCTCTGGGAAGCCGGAGACTTCTGTTGATCCCTCGCCACAGGCACAGGACGAGTGAGTCGCGCGCTTCCCCGGCGAGGGCGAGTGCCATCGCATTCTGAACCGTAAAGTTTCTCCGGCCTTTCTGACGGATCTTGGCGGCGGATGGAGGGGGACAAGAAGCACCTTTCTGGCCTTGGTCGCACTCGGCCGGCAAGATCCATCCCCGTACCTGGTGCACTCCCCTGCTACGCTTTGACCACCCAAAGAGGTAACTGGTGCCATGGTGCGCTCGAGAGATTGGCAATCAGAGCCATTTGAGGTTTGGAGCCCAGGCTCTCAAGCACCGACGCCCCCACAGGCCCACATCATGATCATGAGTATAGTAGGGCAGCGGTTTTGTGGTCACCTGGACCGTTTGCCGGCCATATGCTGCGTGCCTGCGCTATCCTGCCATTTCCTCAGCTGCATTTCATTTGCTAATGCCTTGCATGTGTATCCACTTCAATCCACACGTGTTGGAGTGGATTAAAATAGAACTTAATTTAATTCCACTTCAACACATGTGGATTAAGATGATAAGACCTAAGTAGGTTGTGTGGTGGCGCTGGTAACTGGTAGCTGTCTTGGAAAAGATTCCGCCTCCCGTGTTTTTTTTGTTCATGTTTTGCAGGATCTCACGAACGGATCTTGTAGAGTTGTAGGACAGTACGACAAGCTGCATACGGTTAGAATGAATTCACCAACAAGTTGATGTCCTTCTTAGGTCTCGCAGTCTGTTTGCTTCATCCTTCTTATGCCCGAGCACACCCCAATACCCCATGTTATAGGTTCATCGAGTAAATGGATCACACGTAGTTCCAAAGTATAAGACATTTTGACTTATATATATATATATATATATATATATATATATATATATATATTGTTTTTACTATATATCTTGATATAATAGTATATATCTAAGTGAATGACAAACTCTATGTTTGTAGAAAAACCAGAACTGTCTTATAATTTGAAATAGAGGCACGGAGTAGCTAGTACACGTTTGGTCTCTGCCGGTGCTTGGCGGTTCTCACCACCACCCATCTGCCCGCTGCAAGGGTGTATACATTATATGGCAATGGGTGTATAGATGTACACCAAATGATTTGTACCCAAAAAATTGCAGTTAAGGTGCATAAGCGTACCGTCTTCATCACAAAAAGAATATAATTCTAGATTTGAACCAAGTCATTTTTAAGTTATTCAAGTTTATAGAAAATAGTATCACATTTATGTCTTACTGTGTTTAATCTGAAAATATATTATATGATTAATCTAATAGTACTTGTTTTGTATCATAAATATTACTATTTTTATTGATTTGATTTGATTTGATCAAACTTAATTAAAATTGTTTGATTCCTAAAAACCAATAATTACATTTTTTTACGGAAGGGCAAGAATTACATTTTTTCCCCCTAAGGAAGGAATATGTGCATACTAGATTCTTGGGCTAGATTATACATATTTGAGCCCAAATATGTGTAGCTGCACAAGTGCCCAGATCCAAGCCTCTCCGTAGTCCCTCTCACCTCTATGATGGGCTGGACTGCACAGGTGCTCCCTCTTGTTGGCAATTGGCCAGAGATGCCTTGAAGCAGCATTCCTCCGAGTTCCGACTCGTCATCCGGTTCTCTCGGTGTATTAGCTTCATCGCTATTTTCAACGATTTGCAGCATGGTGTTGCGGCACCCAACTCGTCCGCTCGTGGAGCCCTCGGATAGTGGAGTGGACATTGCACAAAGCGGGCGGAGAAGGCCAAGTTGATCGCCATGGCGTGAGAATCATCATGCATAAGCGGCGGGGGGGAGGAGGCCACGCTGCCCAATGAGCGAAAGATCCGTGCGGAAAGGCAGGACCGGACCGGAGGACATCCCTCGCCTCAAAAGTTCCGTGCCCTACTGACTCTGTTAGTCCAATCTCCAATACTGTTGCCAGTAGAGTATCTCTGAGTGTTCCCCTAAAAAAGAAAAGCTTAAATCAGTGATACTTTACTGGCAACCGTTGCAACCTTAGCACGTATTGGGTGATTCTTTCGGTGATAAATTTTGAAAAGAACTACTTAACAATGAATAAAATGAGAGATCATCGATATTCGAATAATCCATTATCTTAGAATTTGGTCAACAGGAGTCTCCATGTTGATCTCAAAGCTTAGAAATTACGACATTACTTGAACAAAATGAAATCAAAGTGGCGGCCCATAGACATAGATAAACTACTCACTGCTACCATTAAGTAAAAAAAAAAGCCCAAAATATCCTTATATCTGTTCCGCTATTACACAATCATGCCATTATATTAAGAAAACATGAAGCCCATAAAAAAAGAGAAAGGAGACGCTTGAAGCGCCAACCGCACACGTACATTTACATTTAAGGTTAAAATTTAAATGATAAAATACAAACATACTTCAATACAAGAGTTTAAAGAACATGAAAACATAGTAAACAACCCAAAGGAGATAAAATCCAAATTTAAGAAAATATTGATCTATCTGTATTGTGGAAAAACGTAGTGAAGTCTACTGTCCTCTCTGACAGGGGAAGGGATGCCTCACATGTGAGGTTAAAATGGGTTGACACTTACTCCCTCCGTCTCAAAAAGTCAAAATAATTAACTTTTTTGAAATGTTTAGACAAATTAAGGACGTTGGCAAAAGAAAGCATGTCTCCTCATCTTCTTTTCTTTCCTGGAGGATATCACTTTGATTTGGCAACTATCATCTGCATGCACCCATGATTAGTTTCCACATTATGAGACAATGTCCCATATTCTTGTAGAATGTCAAATTATTTTGGACAAATTTTAAACCTTAGAAACTTATTTATTATGCTAAGTAGCATAGTGGTGTCAAGTGCTAACTGACATTAGATTATACCAACGTAGCATAGTGGGGATGCAACGAAACAAAAATATAACCATTTGACGTATTTTGGTGGACATCAATAATGAAACCACAATCAAACGGAAGGAAGACATGTGTTGCATTATCATATTAGGCTTGAGCCTGTAGCTGGAGGCCACAACATTAGTTGGGCAAAAAAATTATAATTCACATAGGTAACAATAACATCTGGCAATGACAGAAATGCCAATAAGCCATCAATCACTAACATGACAAATAAAATTCAATGGCACAACAAAAGGATATATAGCTGCGACAAAAATCAGGTTTGTGGCGTCTATAAAATGGAAGAGGCATAGCTTGCAAATCACTCATGGAGCAAGGCATAGTTTGATAAAAACATTGATGAAGTAATAAATTCAATAATATGACTTTGAGGTTGTAACACCTCGGGTGTTTAAAATACTAAAACCTGACATGTCATCATATGCATTGCAAAGCATTTGGCATTTGGTAAAAACTTTGAGATGCATACACTAAAACAAGTTTATATTCATGTGGTATGTGTTGAATTGTATTGTTTGACTTAAATTCAAAGTTTGTGTGGATTTTGAATTTTTCGAGAAAACCCCGCTTTTCAAAGATTTAAATCCTACCACGAAAATCCATTTCAAAATCTAGATGTAATTAGGAGATGGTTATAGAAGCAAAGTTGTAGAACTTTCAATTTTGAACAACTTTTGTTTTGGAGATTTTTGAGTTGTTATGAAAAATTTGAGAGTAAATTGTGAATTTTTGGCGTATGGCAATTTTGTAATTTTGTGAGCAGTGTTCACCGCCTAAGCTTACATTGCCGTCGTTTCTTCTTGGCGTTCCAGGCGTGTCGTGGCCGTCTTTGATGTCGCGCACAGCACGGAAATAGCTCCGTCGTGGCTTCCTTGAGCTTCTGCGCGCGCGCTATAAGTACCAAGACGTCGTCATCGCTGCGTTTTTCTTCCTTTGTTTTCACCACCGTCGTTGTCATCGCTCCAACAAGCTCGCATCGTCTCCCTAAGTATTTGTTGCCATCTCGGTAAAGGCCGCCCTAGTTCCGTCTTTTCCTTGCGAATCCAGCCCGGCTAGCCTTGATCGCTGAAATTGCCGAGAACTCATTGTCCACGTTTTTTTCCCTCGAGGTCACAACTTCACCGCTCGCAGGCGTGTCATCGTGGGCGAGTTTTTCGGTGAGCCGTTGTTCCGTAATCGGTGTACTTACGGTTTCGTTTCGATGCTATAGTCTTTCGTCAGTTGTTGTTTACTCATTTTGATCGCTGCAGTCGCCGGTTCTCCCTTACCGACGATCT